AAATCTTGTTTGTCCAAACCGCAGAATCTTCCCCCCTCTTAAAGAGCTCGGACCTGTTTTTCTTGGGTCTTAGGTGAGACAAAAGCGGGCTTCAAACACAACAAAGGGGAGGAAATCCTCGACATTCATGGTCAGGGTGTAAAGTTTAGGCTGGAAGGCTTTTAGGGTTAAACTAATGAGGATAACTTAAGGTACATCTCGGGATGCACCACCTCCCTCCTCTTCCCGCTCACAGACCTGGTTCGACCGGACTGGGTAATCAGTTACCTGCTCTATCTGACCTGTGCTGCCCACGTATCTCACACGCACACACACTGCCCCCAAAGTCCACCTAAAAACACACGCCACGTCCACACTCACTTTGGAGAAGACCCTTTTTGGTCTGAAAATCCCAAAACTCTTGCATCTGCACCGTATAATAAAAAACTGAATACATGTAGGCGCTTTTACAAAGGGGGGGATTTATTTTTTGCAAACCGTAAAAATGTTCTAGATGCGGACCGCGCTGGAATATCAAGATGTCAGATACTTGGCATTAGTTGCAGACATTTGCGTCTACAACAGCAGAACTATTGGGTTTTCAACCGATTCCTGAAATTCATCTGGTTTTCAAAAGCAACTTACAAAAATGAATTGATTTTAGTTAAACGTCAAACATTGACTTGCACAACTAATCCGTGACTTTCTAGAACTTTTTCTCCCCGATGGTATCGACCCCCAACCTTCCCTCATGGCCTTTCCCATAACTGCCTCCCAATGACCTAATCGAGCAGGATGTGTTTTTCAAGAGAGTCCCAAGAGAGACTTAGTTAGGTGGTTGAAAAGTAGCACAAAAGAAATCACAAAAATCGGTCGCAGGAACAAACACGTCGTCATGGTTTTTGAGAGCATAGCGACCTCCCGAGAGCCCGTCTTTGACCCCACACTGGTATCTGGACTATCTGTCAGCCTTCACCTGTGGCTGAACGGCGTGTACTCGGACTCCACTGTTGCCCACGCCCCCACCCCCCCACCCGTTCCCCTGGCGCCATGCACCGGGTCCAGCTCAGAGATGGGTGAAAGGTTGAGTTGGACAGAACTGTCTCAGAGTCATTTTTTATTTATTCGGTCATTTCACTGTGTGGGTGTACTCTGGAGTTCAAAGCCATGAGCACACAGCGAAGCCACAAATCAAGCACTTCATGTAATAATGTATTAGGATTCAGTTTCTACTTTTATTTTTAAAGTGAATTCCCGGAGGTAAATACAGAACAATATCTATTGAAGAAATAAGATTCATACAGATAATACCAACAACCCAGCAGAGGCCTTGTTGTCATGAAAAAAAGTTATCACAAATCAGGAGTTGAGCAACTGACTCGAAGGAATGTTTTGTCGTGGCACGCTGCACTGGAAGAACTGTGTGTGTGTGTGTGTGTGTGTGTGTGTGTGTGTGTGTGTGTGTGTGTGTGTGCGTGTGTGTGTATGGGTGTGGGGGCGTGCAGGTGTGTTCTTGAGTCTGAGGACCAATTTTAAGTTTTAGACCTCAAAGTGAAAACAGTTTTGAAAAGTAAGGACATTTGTCCTGGTTTGTGGGTCGGTACTTGGCGTTTTAGGGTTTTATGGTCAGAACTAGACTGAAGTTCAGGGTTTCGGTCGGTGCCGTTATGTAAAGACACAACCTGCTTTTCCACCAAGTCAAACAACCAGTCAGTTAGTTGGGTGACAACTGGTGCATAGCAACTCAAGCCGCCGTTCCACTTCCTTCTCTACATCCTTTAACTGCACAGATCCTGGAAGCTGTGTGTGTGTGTGTGTGTGTGTGTGTGTGTGTGTGTGTGTGTGTGTGTGTGTGTGTGTGTGTGTGTGTGTGTGTGTGTGTGCGTGTGTGTGCGCGCGTGAAGGTGTAGGCGTGTGACAGAGAGGGAGGGCGGGAGGCCGAGATCAAGGTTGAATGACTAATGAAGCGCGGCGCCATAAGCAGGTTGACCTGAGTCACCGCGGTACAACGGGTCCTGACCTGTGAGCCTGGGAGGGTCCAGGACGATGTCCCCGCGCTGGATCTTTTGTCCTTTGAATTATGTCACTATTATTTCAACAAACCCTGGGTCAGAGAAAGAGACACAGAGTGCATCTTCCTGTGAAAAGAGAGTCAACACGGCGAGGAAAAAAAAGGAAAGTTGGAGGAGGTTGACATGGAAACTAGGAAAGGACTCGGGAAGTAAAAGAAATCAGTCAAAGTTTCAACTATAAAGGCGTTTGGTGAACAATAATATAAAATGGAGAAGAGAAGTAGTTCCTCATATTTCTTATGGATGATTCAATTATGCTGATTCTCAAAACATTTTTTAGTTGGTCAGCTAATTCATGAAAGCTCAGCACAATCAACTTTACAGGAACTGAGACCAACTAACCTGGTTTTATCAATGTTTTCTTTTGTTTGAGGAGATAAATAAAAGAGTATTAACTCTGAAAATCAACAAAAATACAATATTCAATATTAGAGCTGTTTCTATGTATATAATACTAAATAATAAAATGATTAAATGTGACAGAAGAGCCAATGCGCTGCTGAAGAATTGTCTGTTATTATATTACAGTTGTTGTGCTGCCGTCTGAATAACAGAAGTAATAAAACTGTTGAGCCACTATCAGCTTAGGGGCTTTGGTGACGTCATTGCTTTTTTTTTATATACACGCAGCCATAAATAGCAGACTCAAACCAGTGAGGGACTCTTCACTTAATAAAAGACAAACACAAAAACAGGTGGGTTTTTATTTGCATGGAATCACTTATTTTGATTCAGTATATATCACGTGTTTCAGTCCTGATCACTGAGGCACAAACACACCCATTCTGGGGAAAAGAGCTCCAAGAGGAAAATATAAAAAAAAACACATAGCTCCTTGGTAGGCTATAAAAGTTATTGGTGACTCAGGAAGCAGTTTTGGGTTTGTACACAACGTGCTCACGATGGACTTTTCATTTTTTACACAATATTCAGAATCAGAATTATTACCATTGGCCTGGTGAGAAAAAAAGCAGCAAAAGGAACAACATTGACTACTATTGAAAAAAAATGAAAAGCAGTGAGAAATGAATTCCTTGTGATTGTGGGTGCAGCATCCCGAGTAAGAGGAGAGGAAAGAGAGGGACCTCTGCTGCGGAAGTGAAGTGCGTCAGCTCTTATTTATGACTTCGCCATAAACTGTTGTAAAAAAATAAAAGTGTCTGGGATATTCTGGGATACGGTCTCCATGGTTACACACACGCCTGTACGGACACACACAACACAGTGCAGGGTGTGTGTGTGTGTGTGTGTGTGTGTGTGTGTGTGTGTGTGTGTGTGTGTGTGTGTGTGTGTGTGTGTGTGATTATTTCCGTCTTGCTTTTCCTCTCTTATCAAACTATTCACCCAAAGCCATATTTATCATTGTGTTTGTAATGAATATTAGTGGTCGTTCTGTTCTGTAAGCTGCAGGAAATGATGAGCTGCACTCTTTCACTCTTCTCTGCTGCATCATCATCATCTCTCTCTCTCTCTCTCTCTTCCCATCTTTCATGTTCTGAGTGATTCTGAAGTCTGTACTTGCACTGTGACGCCCCCTGTTGAGTTATAATACGCACACCTGTGGCTCCAGTTTGGGCTCCTCGTCTTAGTTTATACATCCTCCATCCATCTCCTTACCTCCCCCCACCCCTTCTTGAGATGCAGGCGAAGCAGGCGAGGAAAAGACACAAATAGAGAGGAGACAGGTGGGTGTGTTTAGGATCCATCTTCTTGTAGAGATCAGATCAAACATTTTTCCTCCTATACCTTTAGTGAAATGTATTATAAGAGACGTTGGTTTTAGAGATGTCTGCCCTCTTGCTACAGTCTAATGGAACTAGTGTATATTATAGTAGCTAATGGTGCTTTTGAATAACACATTAATAATCATCATCATCATCATCATCATCATCATCATCATCACAGGTCATTTAGCTGACACTTTTATCCAAAGCGACTTACATTACATTTTAACCCATGGCATTTCACATTTTCACCTGGGGAGCAATTAGGGGGTTAGGTGTCTTGCTCAAGGACACTTCCAGATGGGGCAGCCGGAACTTGAACCACCGACCTTGCGGTTCCCAGCACACCCTCTGTACCCCTGCGCCACGTCGCCCCCAATCAAGAGAATGTTCTCCTTTTAACCACCTGGTTACTCAAGATAAGTCTGAGCACTAACATGTACCCATTTAATTCCTGTATTTCCATTATATTAAAGACAATTTAGACATCTCTACAACCGATATCTGCAAAATTATAGACAGCTCACAACAAAGCAACCTTTATTGAGAAATAACACTGCAGGAAAGAGGGAAAATATTGGCCTAATTCTAATGTGTTTTACGGCTGCACACTAGTTTGCTTTCAGTGGAATCAATTTACATGTGCTCTGTCTTTATACGTTACAGTGAATGTAGGATACCTAATAAAATAGATTTTTTTAATGGGTTTAACAGCTAGGATTCAAACTGGAGACATATAACATGAGCACATTGACTGCAGTGAAGTCGGATGACTCCTCTCGGCCCATGTTGCCTGCTGTAGAAATACAGTTATGCACAAAGCGGGTGTCCAACAGGTGTATTACCCATTAAATCAAATGTAAATAAATAAGACTACATTAGGACGCTGCAGAGGTGCTAAAGGTATAACTTGTATCTGTTTGTTTTTCATGAATATTTTAAAAATATGAAAACAAATTGGAAAAACCTATATTTTTAGAGCTAAAGGAATGCTGATGTTGCCGGTAACGATGCCTCCAAGTGTGGGCAGTAACGTCTTCAACTAGGGGAAGTTCCACGGTAATAATACAATAGAGTTTATTTGTACCTTTTACTTTGGTAAACAGCGACACTGTGTGGGGGAATGGAGCATTACACGACTATAAACTCCCTGCTCTTACGTCATGGCGACAGCTTCCCTCTAATTGGCTGTGCGGCTCGGGTCACATGATCCTCCTCTGCCCCGCTTCCGTGTCCCTCTTTCCACAGCGGCCGTCGCTCTTCTACTCCGCTCTCAGTGGCGTGTTTAACGATGAAGCAGCAGCCTGAAAGGTGACTGCGCGCCCCGAGGAGACGCCGAAGCCGCTGACTGCGGGACTTCATTCACCTGGACGCAGGGTAACAGCTGGACACCGCGGAACATGACTTGTTTGTGTTGTTGTTGTTGCAGTCAGCGACTCTTTGTCCGCTTGACGTCAGTAAACCGAATAGTCATTTCAATGTAACGTTAATCGTTAACTTCGTGGCTTTAAAGTGGGAATTATTATGGGGCACCAGAGCCGTCACAGTCAAACGGGTTATCTCAACGTCTCTTACTGCTTCTTAACCTGTTGTTTTTTTTAAATAACTTCTCCTCGTGTTTTAAGTTAATGTTACTTTCCCGTTTCAGCCATCTGTCTCGTACGTTTTTCTGAAGCTCACTAATGCAGAGCGTTTTATTCCTAGTCCTTTGCTTTGTAATATGTTTTGTTCCTGTCTGTCCTCTGGTCCCTGTGGTAGTTACATGATAGGTCGTAGAAGATCAATGTACATTTCATTTAGTTATTTGTTTTTAATTGTGGATCATTTAGTTATTCTTTTTTTTGCATTATATAGATCAATGCAAGAAGAGTGCAATGTGATACTGGAAGACAAGTTTCTGGGTTTATTTATTTAGTCAAGATGTTTTAGCCCTTGAGGGACAACAAGTGAGCTGGGATCAGTTGCAGATATGAAATATACAAGATAGCAATGCCCTATATTCATTCTTACAGACTGTTTTTTTAGTTTTCCTTTAGCACCAGCGTATGTCATCCCCTTTTGAAATACAGCAGTCACACAAGTATCAAACTAAAGCAGTGTACATATTTTTTGTCCTCTTTGAAACCGGTCCCACGGAAACCCAGCCGCTTGAAACCAAGTGTTTTACGGACGTTGAAGCGCGTTCACGTGAGTTCCAGATTCTCGATATTGATCCCAAACCAGAATGCTTTCATTCACAGCTCCAATACATTGTAAGTTCCTCATACCCATCAGCAGAACTGAGTCACACGTTCCAGTAAAGAGACGCCGAGTCAGAAAGTCACACTGCTGCAGTCAGCATTCCATGCTTCCTCTCTCTTTCAAGCCGATCACAAGACATGGTGTCGAGTTGTTTGTTGTTCTGGTTTTGGCCGTGAGCTCAGCTCCCAGCAGCAGGAGGCGCACGAGTCTTTGTGCTAGAGTTGGTCTGTGCGGGTCATTGTCTGTCCGTGGCGTTGAAAACATCTAGAACCTCTTTGTCTGCAGGTTAAGCAGAGGTGTGTGTGTGTGTGTGTGTGTGTGTGTGTGTGTGTGTGTGTGTGTGTGTGTGTGTGTGTGTGTGTGTGTGTAGGAGAGTGACAATGGGTTTGAGATTGTTATGCATCTGTTGCTCGCAGGGATCCTGTAGTATCCCCTTTTTTAAATTCACATATCTATTTCTGCAAAAGGGGAACAACCCAACGTTTCCCTGTGTATGGTTTGGGTAACATCCATCCAATGTTCCCTACAGAAACATGAATACATGATGTTTTGCTGTTTTTTATTTTCTTTCTTTTAGAATTACGGAGCTTAACCTGAACAAAATCTGAAACCACTGTCTTTCACAATGAAGATGGACGTCCCTTACAACCAGGTACGATGCCTTTTCTATGGATTTTGAGTGATACACTGAATAAAAATCACTTGATTACGAAATAAAAGTTTTTTTACTTCAATTATTTTACATAACCACGAACTGGGCTATGGTGGAAATGGGTCAGAAGTCACACACCAGTTCTTCCTCCAACAAAATGTTGTATCCCCATAGTTCATGTACTCTTCTGTCTGCCTGCAGCTGGTGGAAGTGGAGAGGAGGAGACAAGAAGCCAATAGGAAAGCACAGATGGTACGTCACACGCTCAACAAAGAGTCACAGAAATTCACTTTCTAAAATAACTAAACGTTTTAAACCCAGAAGACAAAAGTGAGACAGAACCCTTCACAGTTGTCGCGTGTCTCTAAGCGATAAACAACTTCAAATATTACTCGCATACACTTTCAGAACTCCTGGTGTGTGATGGCTGTGGTTGCTGTGGCGACGGTGCTGCTGGGCTCCATGGCCCTCTACATCCTCCTCACTCCGAGGGTCTCCTCCTCCCGTCCAGCTCCGAGCAGCAGCCTCCGTCTGCCGCGGGGGGAGTCCTGCTCAGACCCCTGCGAGTAAGCACACGCACACACACACACACACACACAGTCATGTCTATCTCTATGTCTTCATCCGTGTATCACATCAACATTTTTATATGCTATTAAATACTAATCATCTGTGAGCAACCTCAAAAGGCGTGCGCGTGAGACTGATTTCAATTCAAAGTTCAGAGGTCAAAGGATCCTGCAGATGTTAAATGTTACGCTTGATGGTTTGATCCGACGCACCGTAAGACAACAGTCGGGATTAAAGTAGTATTTGTCTTATTGACATCTGCACATTTTGTAAAACCCAGGAGCACAAATATTATGAATCAATATCATTAACCCCCCCCCCCCGCTCCCGCTACCAGGATCGTTTTGTTGGAGAGCATCCCTGAAGGTCTGGAGTTCAACTCCAGCACCGCTCACCCCACCATCTTCCAGGCCTGGCTCAATCTGATGGGTGGGGCCCGCAGCAGTATCGACATCGCCTCCTTCTATTGGACGCTCACCAATAAAGACACAGGCACTGACGAGCCGACAGCCAATCAGGTCAGCCGGGGGTTTGCTCGGGCCAAATGGCCCCAGGATGAGATATACCTCTCGAAATATGTGTTTCAAGATAACCTCGTACCACGCTTGCATCTACAGCGGGGAAATCAGCTTTCTCTGGTGTGTTCACAGGGTGAGACCGTTCTGAAGACGCTGGCCGAGCTCTCCGGGAAGGTGTCTGTTCGTATTGCAGTGAACACGCCACAGGAGAGTCAACCGCAAGGAGACCTCACACTGCTCCGAGACTCAGGTGACCCTCCGACTGTCTTTTACTTTGACGTGTCAGAACGACATTTGGGTTGATGGGCACCTCATGTGAAGCCCGTGATCCTCCGTATTTAATCAGGCGGACCAGTCATTTCATATTCTAGTTTTTAAGATCACTTTTTGGCACTCAGCTCTCACCTGAGAGAGACGGGAAGCACTGGGAGTGATTGGGTGACGTCCCGATGATGGTTTAGTCTGATGTATAACAGTAAGTTACACTTTATTGCATTAAACAGCAGTTTAACGAAGAAAATATTTTAGCAACACACAAAAATATAAAGTAAAAAACATTGTTTACATAATGTGTATTATATTATGTAAAAATAGTATCGTTGATAAAGACTTCCAATCAAAGTGTGGAGAATGGTCTCAAAACCGGTTGAAAAGTGACTTTATGGGTAACTGCTAAATAACACCTGGGGTTAAATTGATTAAATGCATTTATATAGTTTAGGATTTGTTTTCTACATTTAAGTGACAACTCAATAAAAGTCTGTTAAGTCAATATCTATAGCTGAGGTGATGATCACAATAGTGATGAAAGTATTGCAACATTTACGAATTTGCAGTATTCCAATCTGTGTTTGTGTGATAACATTCCTGGAAAAAAGCCTATTGAAGTTTTTCTCCTCACAAAAATTACGTTAGTGTGGAACTTTTGTACTGAGCCTAAAAATCCAGACTGTTAAACTCTGAGCACAATACCATTGTTTCAAATATACATTCTAAATCCAAATTCAAGGATTTATAATATGAATATACTGTTTTTCACTTTATTAAGTTGCAGGTTATCACTCATTCCTGACTAACTAACATAATAACGTGTGTGTGTGTGTTTCAGGAGCTGACATCAGGACCGTTAACATGAGAGCGCTCACCTCCGGCGTCCTTCACACCAAGTTCTGGGTCGTGGACAAGAGACACATTTATATTGGCAGCGCCAACATGGACTGGAGGTCCCTCACACAGGTCCTCATCGCTCACAACCACTTTCCTTTGTTCTATGAGAGTGAATCTGTCAAAGGGTTTTCCCGTTAACGAGTAGTTGTTACACTCATGCAGTGTTAGTTTTCCAAACCGGATAAAGGGTCGGTTTTGTCGGCTCAAACCTTCGGCCAAACGCTATGCAGGAAAGGACTTTTCTTATCAATTATTATTATGAGTTCAAAATATGCAAGTTTAGAAAATATAATCCTGATTAATTCTGGGGGTTTTGTTAAACGTCATCTATATTCGGACATTTGTTTGAAGAAAAATAACTTGCAGATATGATATGATAATTAGAAGCAACAATCAATAACAAAGATCGGAAAGCAAAGTCAACAGATGGGATTAGAAACTGAAGTCCTGCAGTCATAAGGAGCTAAACATTGAAGGAAGGATCTTCGTACATGTTGCTCCTGCGGTGTTCCTCCTACTCGTCTGGGTGAACTGATCTCGGAGCTGTGGGAGGCTTGTGATTGATTGATTGATTGGTTTGTGTGCAGGTGAAGGAGCTCGGCGTCGTGGTCTACAACTGCAGCTGCCTGGCTGCGGACCTGGGTAAGATCTTCGAGGCCTATTGGCTCCTGGGCCACAGCCAGTCCGTCCCATCGCCCTGGCCTGACAGCTTCACCACCGTCTACAACAAGGACACGCCCCTCCAGCTGCCACTCAACAGCACGCCGTCCAGCGTCTACCTGTCGGTGAGATGCAAACCAGGACGGGAGATATTTCTTGTTGCGTCCCTCGTTGCTCGAAAATGACCAAATGATGTCCTTCCTCTCCCCTGTGAAGAGTTCCCCTCCGTCCTTCTGTGCAGCCGGCAGGACTCCCGATCTCCAGTCCATCCTCGGTGTGATAGAGGACGCCGAGAGCTTCATCTACATCGCCGTCATGAACTACCTGCCCACCATGGAGTTCTCCAGTCCTAAAAGGTAGGAACTGCTCAGTGCCCCGTCGCTACGCGGAGGAACGAGTTCAGTCTTGTGCTTTGTTCGCTTTGTGCAACACGCTCCCCATAAAAAGACTCAAAACGCCTTCTACCAACCAGCTGACAGATGAACGGGTGTTATCGTTAACTAGTCTGGTAACTAACTGGTCCTGCTCTGCCCCCCGCAGGTACTGGGCCGACATCGACACCAGGCTGAGGCGGGTCGCCTATGAGAAGCGGGTGAAGGTGCGGCTGCTGATCAGCTGCTGGGGAAGCTCCAAACCGGTCATGTTTCCCTTCCTGAGGTCTCTGGCCTCCGTGTACGACCCGAAGAGCCGACTGGACATCCAGGTGGTGAGTATCTCGTCCTGTGTCGCTTCGTCTGAGTTGTTGTGCGTATTATGACGCCCTAATGACTGTTGCAGAGGCTGTTTGTGGTGCCGACCAGCCCCGAGCAGAAGGAGATCCCCTTTGCCAGAGTCAACCACAACAAGTACATGGTGACCGATAAGATAGCCTACATAGGTAACGGCCCACGCACACTTAACGTGAATGACATGTGTACATACACATGGTCACCTGGGGGAAAACGTGCTGAAAGGGCTAAACCATGTGTGTGTTTGTGCCCTCAGGGACGTCTAACTGGTCAGGTGACTACTTTGTGAGCACGGCCGGCTCGGCGCTGGTCGTCAACCAGACCGCGTCAGAGTCCCGAGAGCCGACCCTCCAGTCGCAGCTGCGGGCCGTGTTCGAGCGGGACTGGGACTCGGACTACAGCGCCCCTCTCACCCAGCACTCCAACCACAGGGACCTGTGTTAGCTCGGCGCAGCGGGGGGGAGGGGGGACACCTCTGTTCACCAACGTGAACGTGGAAGCTTCAGTGTTTGAGAAACGAGACGGCGGGGTGTTGTTCCCCTGTCAGCTGAGGTCCAGAGGAACATCGTAGACTTCCAGTGAGAGCGGCTAATCACAGCTTTGATGCAAACTCCCGTTTGACCGGAGTAGTGTGCCATTGATCCACTGAGCTGCCCAGTACTGCCAGTTTCATGCTGTTAAAGGGTTGTTCACAGCTGCGTTTTTATTTTACGGCTAATTATTTATTTCAACGCTGATTCAAACTAAATGTTTGTCTGATGGGACATGTGAAATAACAGCTTTCACGTCGGGCAGTTTGCTTCATTTAATCGAGTGTTTCGTGTTTCATGAGTGAATGGACATTTCTCAAAGGGTTTTCCCGTTTGGGTAACGAGTAGTTGTTACACTCATTCAGTGTTAGTTTGCCAAACCGGATAAAGGTTTGTTTGTTCGTTGACCACTTTCTAGTTTTAGAAACAATATTGCTCTTGTTTCTATACAACATCAGCCTCATTGGCAGTTTTATCTTTACTATCCCAGCTTACGTCAGAGGTTTTTATTTTTTAGATTTATTGAATCTTTTAGTTTGCCTTAGTACCCTGGGACAATAAGTTATATTCAAGCTGGTGAGCTGTACATATGATGTCAATTCCACTCTATCGTCAGAACAGTTCTTTTGAATGAATTTAATACTAAATCAGCAGTCTACACAATAGATTGAAATGTTACAGTATGTGTAAATAACCCGCATTTAATGACTTCTGTGTGGAGAATGGAAGTACCGATTGCTGAAGTCGGTTGTTATGGCAACCGTCTGAATAAGCTGTTAGTGGCATGCTCAGTTCATGTCCTTATCAGCTTCCCTCTTTAAACAGAAATGACTCAATAAATATATTTCAATCAAAACTCTTCTTTACTCTGATACGCATGTATGTATTTATTTACAACACATCTAGTGTTTGATTGATGACTCCTCGTTTTGTCCACGCATTCTCAACCTTATTAAACAGAAACAGCATTCCCTCATGAGCGTCCATTTGCTGCTTTGTAAACAGTCCCCCTCAGATTCAGGGCTCTCAAGTGTAACGCACTCCGGCCACACATCCAATTCCTCACGCCAAGACGCTAGTCCGCGCTACGAGAGGGGCCTGGAGGTTCTGTGGTGAAACAAAAAGTAAAATTCCTGCAAGCAACATTCAGTTCATGTTACTAAAATTTCCAAAAAGTAATTGAGTCCGTCCCGAGCAGAATGTCCTCTGCAGCTGCAGTGCTAATAATAATAATGTGGTGATGTTGCTGTGCAGAGGCCTTCCTGCTGTGGGACGTCCTCTCTGCAGCAGGCCAAAGGGATCTCGGACAGATACACGATATAGCACTTTATTTTCATGGTTTTGTGATGCGTTCATTCTAATACTTTGCACCTAATTGACATATGATTTTATATATATATATATATACCTTTTACAAACGTATGAATAAGTGAACTTGACAGGCATTAGTAACATTTCTATGAGCGGGGCAGCTGTCCTGTTCTCAGGTCGCCTGCTGTGACCTTTCACAACACAATAGATCTGTTTCTGTCTCCACGCGATGCGCGCAACCGCCGCGCCGACGAGGAGCGAGGAGGACCGGTAAGGACCGAGGAAGACCGAAGAAGAGCGAGGAGCGAGAAGCAGCGGCCGTTGAGGATCCCTGCCGTACTGAGGAGGTCGTTAGTCGGCTGGTTCTGCGCGAAGAGATGTTTTATTAAATAATATTTGATGCCACTCTGGATTATTTCCGCGGAATGAATCAGGACAGAGAAGCACGTTGAAAGAGTTAATTGACCTGTTAATTTTGCATATTAGTTCTCATGAGTTGTTTTTCCAAATATGGTCATAAAACAGTTGACCTCGAGCACATCTACTCTCGGGCTATTATTGGACATGCAGCACGTGACTGGGACCGCGCGTCTCACACCTAACTGGGCTCTTTGTGGCCGCACGTGTGGCAATAAATGCAGATGCGCGTCGTGCGTCAGTGGGAAATGCTCCAATCACCCCGAACCAGCCCGAGGGCATCACACGCGAGGCTTTCTGCAGATTCATCACCCGCTGACGTCCACTTGATAACCGGCTGATGTCCACTCGGTGACCCGCTGGTCTCAGCCGGCTCTTTCAGGTAAACATCCTGTTTTTCTTTTTCTTTAACGTTGGTGTCTAACTTTACGCGCTCAACTCCAATAACTCCTCTTGGTAACGTGTCGTAAAATATCCGACTATTAAAAAAGAAATCTGGAAAGTTTGTTTTTAATTAATAAAGTATTATGGTTCAGTGATAAAACAGATTGTTGCGTAATTATTATTGCATTATTATTATTCTCTCATTCTTTGCTTATTGTCTTTGTATTGGTGAAACTGTGAAAACGCATAAACAGGGAAGACGGAAAGACAAGTTTTACACATAAAGCTGTCAGATGAGTAGGGTTGAGAGTCCAGGAATACGGGTCACACATATTGTGTTACGCAGGTGTGTCTGGCATGTATGTATAGTATCTAAGGGTTGTGAGGTGAGAAGACAGAAATTGTAATTGTTGTAATAAATAAATAAATGCCTCAACAGCAATATCCTATTATTAAATATTGTTTATTTTCCATTATACGTGAATGAGTTAGTTACCTTTGCTTTAACTAAATAAATCAATTAATCCGTTATTTGTACTTTCCACCTTCCTTCTATCAATTTCAGTGGGAGGTTATTTGGTGATGTCACGTGTCCCGCAGCAGTAGCCGGGTTCCAACACTTGTGTGTGGTATCGGTCCCGGGTGTGAAGGGGAGTCTCTGGCGGCCAGACAGGTTCGTAGCTCTCCTCATGTCCCGCTCACATGAAATCAGGGTCAAAATAACTCATTACAATGCAGTCAAATAAGATTACTTACCGTACTGACCCAGATCCAAATGACAGACCTATAGATCACAATGTTATGTCCCATTTATCTTCTGTTTTATCTCTGACTCATAACATCACAGTTTTGTAGCATTATTTCAACTTTCAAATACTCTGAAGCCAGCAAAAGTGAACTGGATTGTCAAGTGCTGTTCCATATAGACACACACACACACACACGCACACGCACACGCATGCTCTCCAACATGTCACTTGCAAAATGTAAACTATTTAGGAGGTCAAGGATGGCAGCTGAGCCCAACCCTCAAGGTTATTTCTGTCTCCCTGTTAACCTTCCAGGCCTCCGATGTATGTGTGTGTGTGTGTGTGTGAGAGTGTGTGTACTGTGTGTGTGTGCAGGAAGAGGCATGGTGAAGTAAAGACAACCCGACGCTCGCTGAACCTGGCAGCTTTTGATGTATTTTGAGGGCTTGATAACCTGCCAAGTAATGACATGATACTGGTAAATAATAAAGTCTAGCTGTGTGTGGTGAGAAACAAGATAATACATAATACTAACAGTGATAATAAGAAGAATGACATGAAGAAGAATGCAGCCCACAGAGAGAGGAGTACATTTTATTTCAGTGATTATCGAAGAACGTTTAGTTTATCTGCACCGCGCAGCTAATTCTCTAATGGAGCCTTGTGCTGCTCGTATGCCTCCAGTGTGTGTGTGTGTGTGTGTGTGTGTGTGTGTGTGTGTGTGAGCGTGCGCCCCGAGGACCAACCAGTAAAACTGACTAATGTTCTCTGCAGTGTAGTGACAGACTATGCCTTTTGTGTTTGTGTCACTCATCTTGTAGATGATTCGGCTGCTGAATGAACCAAAGTGTGTGTGTCTGTGTGTGTGTGTGTGCCTGTGTCAGTCCGTCTGTGTGTGTGTGTGTGTGGAAGGCACACTGTAAATTGAGTAATAAACGGTCCGCTTGACCAAAGCATTGACATGTGGCAGAGAAGTTCAAATGGAATTAAAACATAATAAAAGTAGAGTGTGGAGGAGGAGAAAACAACTGCACTTTAATTACCATGGTGTCCTCTCAGTGGACAGATGTGGTGACGAGGGTGCAGACAGCAAAGGTGGGAGTCCCGTCTCTTCAAGCCGGCCGGTTCTGACCCACACCGGCCTGCAGACGGGGCTCCACTACAAACTCACAACTGTATTTCTCGTTATGATGCTTGACTTTGCTCTAATATTCCACATTTTATAGTTCTACGTTTTTGAATTTGTGAATAAGAACAAACGGAAATATGGGATTTTCACATTCATTTAACTTTGTTTGTGCATTAGTTTTTCCACATTTTGAAAAATCCCTTTAGCTGGGGTTATCAATAAACGTCTCATTTTAAATGAGGAAGCATCACACACAAATGAGGACCACCAGTTTCTCATTTAGTATACATTATTAAATCATTAATATTCTTCCACCATATCAATCCAGCAGTTGATAGTATTAAAAATATATATTTTTATGAACAGTGAACAGGTCTCCTTGGTGAACAACTTTGGATTTTGTTTGACATGCACCCTGTGCAGTTTATTTGTGTTATTTATGCTTGTTGATTCATGATTACAAGGATTCTTTGGATATCTACAAAATTCCACTGCATTCCAGTTTGACCCTGATATAAGACAACTTTCTGTCATACGGTCTTTATATTAACTGATGGATTCTCCCTTCCGCTCTCTGTCTTCCAGGGTACGATCAGCATCGAACAACCATTACAGCAACCGAAGAAGAGCCGCAGAATAGCAACGGGATCGTTTTCCAATCCAATGTGACCAAACACAAAGTCTTAACTGTATTGGTGTCTTGTTCTGTTTTTACTCCAGAGATAGTTAGGCTCTGCATCCGATAAAGAAAATAAAACATTCTGGTTCTGAGCTCTTGTATTTCTGAATCCAGTTGAGGTCATTTCTCAGCTCCTCTGTTAAAAATTTGATCGTCCATTAATGGCTCTTGAAGGTCAGGCTTTGAGCTGTTGCACCTCTCGTGTGACTCATTTTTTATCTTAACAGCAACCAGAATGATGACGTTAGCCGAAAGAGAGTTTGCCTCGGAGTAATTATTGCACGGAATACAACTGTAAGTACGGTTAGTTACAATATGTGGCTATCAGTAGTGCTTACATTTAGGTTGTTTACTTGAGGCAAATGAAAAGGAATATTGTATTGTGCTATGTTAACACTAAGCTAGCTCGCTATTTTGTTAAAAACGGTCTCCAGTGAGCAAGAGTGTGAACGAGCCAATTGGAAATACAAGAAATAATAATTATTGACATCTCTCTCTAAGTTAGTGAAAACGAAATGTAATAGTGTCCATCATAACGCCATTGTACCGATGAATCATTGAATTCATTGACGAGATATAAGACGATCCGTTGGGAGAGATGGCAGCCGCGCCCGTCACATGAAAGAGAAGCAGGACACGGACACGGCTGATGGAGGTTTGTGGTCTACAGGTGTACAAGGAAACACGTTTTTAATTTCTTCTACTGTGGTAGAAATGTACAGGCATTTGTTGTGAAGCCTAGGCTACTCCAAGCCATAGCCGCCCTAAACTATATTATTTCATGATATTTCCATATCAAGTCAAATTTCACCATAACCTTGAAATTATGCCTCTTGTGTTATCATTTAACAAGCCAAACAACAGAGCAACAATCTATGAACTGTCTGGAATCATGGATATCCGTGGCCCCAAACAGGCCCCCGGCCAGAAAATCCCAATGGGGCCCTTTCTTTGAATCCTACAAATGCCACTGGTTGTACCAGGAACCTCAGATATGATGTAAATATAAACGTTCTCAGTTGTTTATTTTGAACATGAGCAGAAGGTATGTGCAAGGTGGGAAGGGATAGACGTTCATCCATTACAGGCTTCACTGCTGTCAGTAGTTTCGCTCTGCCAAGGTACAATCTTAAAAGCACTTCATACTGTACGAGATTGAAATGATTCATACTTAGCCTTTAATCAAGGGGCTTGAAAATGTGTTTCAAGTTCAGCATTCGCGTTATGTTTCATTTTTTGCAAAACGGAAGGGTCCTTGTCTCATCATCGTTTCACTTTGACGTCGAACCTGTCAAGTTTTTCGGCTGGAAAATGAGGAAATGTGGCGCAATGATTCCGAATCAGACTGCTAACCTGGAGTTTGCCCAAAAGTTAACCTAAGGCAAGTTATATTTGCTGGTAAGACTCTAAAGGTCGTGCGAATGTGTCTGAATAATAAGATTCCTTTGTTATTCCAAGCTGTGTGGGCAGAGTCGAGTTAGGATGGTACAAATAGATGGTTGTTGCATAACAGGGCCACTGTACCTGAGGTTGTGTAGACGTTTTTACGAAACAACGGTTTGACGAATACGTTATGGCCGAGATCACGGAGAGCATTTATATGTGCTTTACTTAGTAGTTGGTGAAAATGTCTTCTATGAAGTAAAGTCGGTTCATATTTAACGTGAGTCCCCATATAAATAAATTTAAAGGTGAAAGATGAAATGTGCTTTTGTATGTGCCATTGAAATATTTAGGAAAATTCATTGTTTCAGAAAAAATTGATTTTGTAGCCTGAAAATATTTCCAGAATCTCATCCAGTGGGGTCCGGTCCCGTTTTCCCCGTTGGTCAGAGTTGCTGTCTTTGAGCTGATTCCTCAGCATGTCGATAGAAGATGTACGGATCACCCCGTTCCAATTTGCTTCAACTATTTATTCCTTTTTGAACGTAGTCTCTTTTCTTCAGTAAGAACTAGTGGATTTTCCAGCGACACAGTGAAGTTAACAGTATTGACATCAAAACGTATTGTTGGTTTTTGTACTTTTCATGAGATTTATTTGAAAATGAAAATAAAAATAAAGTCAGCTTTAACCATCAAAGTACATTTCTGATCATTCCGCGATGAGCGGAGATTGTGTTGTCCTCCATCCCAGATGTGTTGGCTGTAGTTGTGTCTGACCGGTATCCAGTGTCCAGCCCCTCTAAGCCCAGTAACAAGGCCCTGCTGGGCCACGGCTAAAGCCTTTTAGCACCGCAAACAAAGGAGCAGGGCTTTGCAGAGGGCCAGGGCAAACTGCTGACTGCCCAGTAGTGCTAATGCACCCCTATTCTGTCTTGTCTCGCTGCTGTCGCCTCTCCCTCACACATTCGTGCCTAATGTCTACTGCTCACTCTACAGTGGTTTGTAAAGAAGGTTCAGTGGTCCATGTGTTCCACACGCTGATGAGATAGTCGCTCCCATCTTCTGTCTCTCTTTCTGTTGACCCCCTCCTCCCGCTGGTGCTGTCCATCCCCCCTCTTCCCCCAATCCTGGGGCCCCTCAACCCTCTCTCTATTTCTCTCTCTTTCTGTTTGGGATCCACACTGAGAGTCCAGCTTGATCTCCTGCAGGCCCAGACAGCCAAACGGATCCCCAGATCGCCTCCGGCACCCACCTGCCTGCCCCAGCTCCGTTGCCCAGCTCGTGTGCGGGCTGCTCCATTGGTGTGTTGCCTCCATTGGCTTCCTGCTGTGGACCATGTGTGAGTGTCTTCGTGGAATATTCCGAGTCACCTGGACGCCTTCCTCCAATGCAGGTCAGATTAAATAACTGTGGACACAAACGTTGGAAGATTAGTGTCATGAAGTTATTAACTGGATTATATGACAAAATACTCCCTTTTGTCATGTAGAAATATGATCTACCTGGATGGGCTGAGCTCTGGGAGCCACTTTATTTTAGGTTAGAGAGGTCAACTGCTGGGTTATTTCAGATTTAAATTAGTATGCCACCCATCAAATTTTGAAATAAGTAGGAAATCTTTTATTTTGACAATTTCAGCCTTAAAATACTGCCGTTAGGTTTTATTCTACTCTCGACATCCCGACATCTAATATGTCGGGAAACGCAGTCATCCTATTTTTTTGTCATTTTAGAATAATCTCACATTGTCACTCTATACTCATCCTACAGTTGTGTTGGGATGCTGCATTGAATACAATGTTTGGACGATTGGTAAGGAGTGGACCAGATGGATTGTTTTTGTCGTCCTGGTGCATGTTCAGTGTTTGCTGATACTGTGGCAAATGTTTGGTCATATCTGCAACTCCTTGTGATGATAGCTACTCTGATGTCATGAGCGATCTAAATATGATGATGTTTTCCAATAGTTAACTGAAAGCTGTTGTGTCTAGGGTTGCAAAGTGACGGAAAGTTTCCGGGAAATTTTCCAGATGCAGCAGGTTGGGAACATTGTCTGCCAGAAACATACACGTAAACATAAAACGTTCTGTTGTTTTTGAACTTCTTTGTCATTACGTAAAATATTGATTACTTGGTAAACTGAAGCCATGTTCATTTTTATACCAAGTTTATTTTTATACAGTAGACTAACTAACAGCAGTGAGAGCAGGAAACTGTTGTTTTCGATCGGTCTTTTAAGATAGTTTCGTAGATGATAACGTGTGCCGTTGGTGCTCTGAAAGAACGTTAGGCTATCTAACGTAGGCTAACGTTCTAATGTTAGAAAGTTGGCTGACTGACGCCTCGCAAAACCACATCAACCATTATTGCTGGTTACAATAATGGCGTCATTGGATAGAACCGTGTCTATTTCTCGGTAACTTGAAAAATCGAAGCAAGAAAACCCAGAAAGATGTAGGCTACATTTAATACAAAAAATGACCGGATGATTTTATTGTATCTTATAAAACTGGAAGAGACAGAATAACGGATTTCTTTCAGTCCTTCTTTCTCTTCTTTAAGAGAAGGATCGAATTAAAACAGCATTTTAAGAGTTTTCGAACACACCGGAGAGAATGACAGATTACAAATCCCATTAATTTCAATGGCCATTTCTACGCTAGCTACGCCATTCATTTAAATGGCCAATGCTATGCTAGCTACTTAAGCCAAGGAGGGGGGGGGGGGGCTTCACTCAGGGGTAACTACTGACATAATCACCATGGATACAGGACAGCGTAAAGCTAGTGAGTGTGTGTTGTTAGTTATTTTACTGCCACCTTGCTCTTCTGTTTTTTCCCCACAAAATCTAAAAAATGTATATTTTAAAAGTTGTATTAGAAATGCATCTCTGCTTTTGACAAGGTAAATACAGTTAAATTACCGCAGAATTTCCAGTTAATTCCCAATAATTCTTGTATATTCTCATATATTCCTGTTAATTCCCGTGGAAAGTTTCCAACTTTGAATATTCCTGGAATTTTGCAACCCTAGTTGTGATCTGAATTAGCGCAGATCAAACATACGTGCTACAGTTATATTTTGTAGATATTGTCCCCCACCCTATTAATACCCAGAGGTCATGTCAGCACACAGAAAGGTTGTTCAGTCGCTGGTCAGGGCGAAGTGGAGGGAGGAAGTGAGCATTGTGTCAAAGAAAACTGTTTAGTTTATCTCGTCGAGCTGATGATTTTGAGTGATCTACTTCCTTTGTGTGTGTCTGTGTTTGTTTGTGTGGGTGTATCTGTCTGTGTGTGTGAGCGCACAAGTTTGCTTGTTGGACGATCAACAAGCTTTGGGGAAAAAGCTGCACAGAATCTATCTAGAGTTATATGTTTGATCACTTCTGAAACCAAGGAGCTGCACGCTGTGATTGATCAGTGTGCATACTTCGGGAAAAAACTAGGATTTGGACCCCATTTCAGCTTTCTTTGATTGTTTTTTCATCAACCTTTTGTGGCACTTTTAATCTAAATGACCAAGTTTAAAATGACACCTGTCTTCAAGGGGAGACATGTACAGTATATGACATGTTATATTTAGACTTTTATTTATTTATCCTCGCTCCTGCCATATGAGGCCACATGAGAATGTTGCTGCAGGTTTAACTTGATAGTGACACTTTTGGTTTCAATAAAAGAGGATGTGATGCTATCATCAGTTCAAATGAGGGAACACA